ATGAGAGCGTTCAGAAAAAGGATATAGGGATTGAACTTATAGACATTGTGATGGAAGGGAAGAGACGGTTTAACATTTACTTTGTTTTGGAGTGGCAATTAAAAGCAACGGAATGATAACAAGATGAGAGAATTGATTGTGGGTGCATTGAAGGGAGAAGTGTGTGAGAATCCGTATGAATATTTTTGATTTGGATGTAACATTCTAATTGAGTTGATTTATTTAAAATAGTTGAATTTAAAGTAAGAATATAAAATTCAAACACCTATAAAATCCTGTCTATTCCTGTTTTCATTTTGTATTTTGAATTCCTTTTTCTAAATATTAATAGTGTTTAAATCTATTTAATTCAGATACAATTACAATTTTTGTGCTTTCTTTTTCTAAATAAATCAAATACATACCCAGACTGAGGTATGTCATGTTAGTCTGGTGAAGCAAGACCGCCCTGTTCACCTCAAAAAAGGAGTTACAAATTGATATACTTGATGCTACGGAATACTACTAGACCGGAGAGGTCTACTCCCTTACGAGTCTGAAGTTGCTTCTTGGCATTGAACCCTTTAAAGTGGCCTTTAATGTAGCTGCAACAGGAATTAACCCTTTATGCGATCAAAAACATTGAGCTCCCCATAGATGTGATTTGAGGATATTATTTGAGATGACCTCTAAACGCACCCAAAGACCCTCTTTCTTATTCATAAAAAATACTGAGTTAGGCTTTACTCTACAGAGAACTGGTCCTCGGTAAAAATCTTCATCCCGTGCGTCACTGATCTGTGATTTGCCGATGCATCTAGGAAGGTAAAGAGAAGTGGAACTGGCATTTATAACCACCGAGTAGAACTGGACTTTGGTTTACAAATAGATTTAGGAACACGAAGAGAAGTGAAACTAGCATTTATAATCACCGAGTAGAACTGGACTCTGGTTTACCAATAGATTTAGGAACACGAAGAGAAGTGGAACTGGCATTTATAACCACCTAGTAGAACTGACCTGTGGTTTATCAATAGATTTAGGAATAAGAAGAGAAGTAGAACTAGCATTTATAACCACCGAGTAGAATTCACCTGTAGTTTACCGATAGATCTAGTCATATGAACAGAAGTAGAACTGGCATTCATTGCCACCGAGTAGAAGTGACCTGTCGTTTACCAATATATTTAGCAATATGAAGAGAAGTGGAAATTGCATTTATAACACCGAGTAGAACTGACCTGTGGTTTACCGATAGACCTAGGCATATGAAGAGAAGTGGAACTGGCATTTATAACCACCGAGTGGAACTGACCTGCGGTACTTATACAAGTAGATTTAGGAATATGAAGAGAAGTGGAACTAGTATTTATAACCACCGAGTAGAACTGACCTGTGGTTTAGCGATGGATCCACGAATATAAGAATATTCAGCTTCACCTTATTGTCCCAGAAGCAGCTATTTACAATAACTTCGTCAAGCGAATTGCGAGATGAGCTGCTTCAAAGCTATGTAGGGTTGGTAAACACAACCAGGATGTAGGCAAGCGAAAAGGCCCTCATCACTTTTATAAAGCACAGAGACTCGGCAGTCGACAGGAGAAAAGCTACGACTGTTGTGAAAATCCTTACAGGTCATGGAGAACTATGTTTTCACAGAAATAAACGAGGTTAGCCACTACTTCTTCCTGTCATTTCTGTGACATTTTTACAAAGAACGGAACATGCCGAAATACGTGTAGATTAAGCTTTTTCTGTAACATTTAAGGCTACCACATACAACCGACTCTCGGTGACCTACGGTGAAATATAATTTCGTCATAAAGTTATTATGTAATATCTACCACACACAACCGACCAAAATGTGCAATGGACCAAAATAAGATAGAGCAAATTGCAAGTTTAAATTTTAGCCGACCTTCCACAAACCCGATTGTCGGGGGTACAATGAGTATATACTATTGTTAGTATTTTAAAATGCAAGCATACTACAAGAATGTCGACTAGTCAAAAATAATTTTGGTGCGAGGGAAGAAAAAGTTGGGAAAGAGCGAATGTGGAGATAGGATACGAAAGATAAGAAGAAGTGGCTGATTTTAGGTATCTAGGAAGTCAGATAAGTGAGGACGGAAGGAATAGTAGAGATATAGAGTAGAGTCGCCTTCAATAAAAAGAAGTCACTTCTATGTTCACGAACGATTTATTTAGAAACTCGTAAAATATTGTTAAACGGTGAGGAAACCGTGGATAGAGAAAGTTAGAAATGAAGAGATATTAGAAGGAATAGGAGAACAGAGGACTCTATGGAAGTCAATAAGAAATAGGCGAGATAGGTTGGTAGGACCACTTCTCAGGCATAAAGGAACATATTATTTGTGATCAGATTTACTTGAAACTTTGTTTTAATGGTCTCTCATTTAATTTCTGAAAGATCTATCTCGACAATTTAAAAAAGGGAAAGGTGTTGCAATTTTTGTTTGGGACATACNTGGAAATCAATAAAAATAGGCGAGATAGGTTGGTAGGATACCTTCTCAGGCATGAAGGTCTAGTCAGAGACATATTAGAAGCATAAACATCAGTTAAGAGGAGTAGAGGTAAACCTAGATTAGATTACTGTTAGAAAATAATTAAATATGTGGGGAAATGCGAAAATTGACTCAGGATAAGGAGTGGAGGTGCGTGTGCAACCAGTCTTATGATGATACTTTATTCCCACCTACTATGCTGGTAGGTATGCAATCCCTTCGGACTGGACCGGAGGGTAGAACGGATGGCCTTTTCAACCTTCTTTAAGAAATCGTAGAAATCGATGGGTAGTAATTGGGAGAGAAAGATGAAGCGGACGAAATGAAAACATAAGAGAAGTGAAAGAGTATGTGTGGAATATTGTTGCCATAGCATTTGCCTAAACGAACGAAGTAAACCACCGAACAAATTAAGCCAGGACCAGGCCATCAGACAAACTCGGAATCGGACCGATATCCTCCCGAATGCTAAGCTCTTAAGGTCATGCCACTCAATAACTGGACAAAATCTTTAATATTATCATCTCTTTTAGGTGATATTAATAAAAGATAACAGTAATAATAATAACTTTTGAAACATGAATAAGTAAATAACAGTAATTTCATAATTTGTATTTGTTCTGATTTGTACTGGTCAGTTAGTATTATTACACCGTTTAAGAAATAGACTTCTTAGATAACGGATATAGATTATGACTATGATAACATAATTAAATATTGCAATAAAAACATTAAAGTAAAATTATAGAACGAAACGTGTGCGAAAACAGTTACAAAGTTGATATTGTCAAAACGGACGCAATTCAAAATTTTCTTGTGGCAGTTACAACAGTTTCAATAAATAGCACTGTGGATGAATGATCATTTTTTTTCAAAACTAATGAAAAGATTGAGTAAAGCATTCTTCAGCCATGAAACTTAATCAAAAATTGGTCCCTTTCGCGAATTCTATCGCGACAAATTCCCTTCACAATTAATTCGCCTCGGATGTGCGGCAAATTTTTCTTAAAAGCGAATTAATTGTAGAGAGATTTTTAATAATTAGTAGAAAAAACTCTCGGAAGGAGGTAACACCTCAAAGTAGAAAATTGTCATTTAGACAACTTAACGATTCGAGGGACTCGTCTTGCTAACATTATATATACGTACATGTAAAAATTATGTCAATGTTAAACTAATTACTCGTATGATATCCAGATACTACTTCTTGTACGCAACTTTAACCGTTTTATCCACTTTTCTCCTCTACTCTTTTACTCTTTCTTATTTGTGAGGGGCAGAGAGTACAATGGCCCTGGGGGGCGCAAATGTCAGGGTGGCAAAAATCTTTTCTTCGCTTTTAGATAGAATAAAAGCCGCCCTAGTGTTAGATATATCAAATTCTTTTTCCTCTTTTTTACCATTTGTTCCAACATCTTCTTTATTCTTATCTCTTCCATAGTCATATCACCTTCTATATAAACCTTCTTCCTCCTCAACCTTCTACTGTTTTTAACCCCTTGCAACTTCTCTTCCCACTTCTTCATTTTTCCCCATATACCTTCTTTATAACTTTCCTTCCCATAATCTCCCTTATAAATCTTTCAAACACCCTCTTCTCTTTATTTTCCTCTAATTCTGTTTCAAAAAACAGCAGGTTTATCTCTTCCCTTATTTTCTTTCCAGTTCCATTACCAATCTCCTTATTCACTTTTTTGCTCCTTTTCTTGTTTCTCTACATTCTTTTCTATCTTCAGCTCATCTAGTACCATTTCCTCTACTTCTACTTTCAAATTGTTGTTTTTCCCCTTAAACTATTCCTTAT